AGAAAGAAAGAAAGAAAGAAAGAAAGAAAGAAAGAAAGAAAGAAAGAAAGAAAGAAAGAAAGAAAGAAAGAAAGAAAGAAAGAAAGAAAGAAAGAAAGAGGGCTGCTTTTTTACAAAACTGAGGAGAACTGATGTTCTCTAATGATCACACATTACATATAAAACACATTAAATCACAGAGCAGTGCTGCCCTCATTCAGCAGCTTTACAAATGTGTATGTAATAACATCCAACTCAAATGGAAAGCAGATGGGCCCTCACATTAGCAGACCACAGACACTGCTCTTTCTGCTGTGCAGAGACCTTTCTTGATCTTTGCTCACTTCTAGATAACACATGTTAATGATAACTTAACATTTTGACAGTTTACAGTTTTGCTTGTTTTAAAATAATTGTTTCTATATATTAGTAGATTATCTTACATTGTTTCAGGCTCAACTAATTAAGTCATTTGTAATCTCTGGATTTTCATTTCAAAAATCAGGAATGGTTGTACTAGCTTGATTTCCTCCAAATAGAAAAATCCATCTGTTTGATGTGATCTGGGGAGATCTGGTGGATGGGTCAACACCACGTGCTCTTTGATATGTTCATCGAGCCATTAATGAGCATGTTTTGCAGTCTTGCTCTGAGAGGCTGTTGCTGTTGGTCAGTGCTGTTGTCATTGATGTGTGTGGAGGCTTTTATGGTTAAACAGCCCACAAAATATTGAGCTATCATTGTGGAGAGTGACGATAGATGTTTAGTTTAGGTGTTAAAGTTTAGTTTTGATTAAATCAAAAACACATTTTTTTCCTTATTTGGTCAGTATTTATATTTTACTCCATTCTGCTTCAGTGTCTTCATTCAGACTTGTGGAAAGACACTAAATAACATATTCATTTACGTCGGTCAGTTTCACTGGCGCCAGCATACATTCCAGTTTGATTCCTACCAACACTCTGAAGGTCTGTATTTACTGGTTTACTCACCTGCTTTTCTGATCCTGGATTATAAAACATTTTCTCTTAAAAAGCTGGTGCTGACAGCAGTGCAATTTTTAACAAGTGACCAAAAAAAGATTAGCTTATTAATTACACTATAACAACAACAATAACAACAATAATAATAATAGCTCACCTCTGCATGCTTATATAAAATAAAAGTATTAAATTTAGGAGGAAAAACCATGACAAACTTACCATAAAAAATAGCAAATTTGAGAGACAAAAGTGTTAAATGAAAATAATCTCAACACATGTATAGTAAAAACTAAAAAAATTTTTAGTCAATGAACAATATGGATTTATTTTCCCGCACCCGACCTTTGGTGTTTTCATTATTTATTTATTTATTTATTTATTTGCTGCCCATAAGCCAATTTCAGGTGAGCATCTCAAAATTCTGACTCACTAGGTCTAAATTTTGAGTTACATTTCTATGAATTTGAACTTACTCAAAAGGAAGTTGAAAATTGAACATACTCCGTAAAAGTAAAACATTACTGACTGGAGTTACCTTTGCCTGGCAGAGGCAGAAGCTTCTATACAGTTCATTTTGTACGGTTAGGTTGGGAAAGAAAATCTCACATATCTACAAATTCAGTGACTCTAATATGGCGCTGTCACTAATATTTTACTGTCGTCACATGTAGGTTCTTGCCGCTGAATAAACTGTGTCAAAATAAAAAATTTTTATGATATATATACTCACCTTGTGATATTTCGATTAAAACACCGCCCCAAACTTTTAAAATACCCCTTTTTTAAAAAGGAGTTTGGTTGGGCGTGCTCTCCGGAGCAGGGGCGTGGCGGAATGTGATAACAGCCCTAACTACGTATTTCGACGTAACGTATCACGTGTGTAAAAATGGCGGCTTGCAGTGGCAGGTCGTGGGTAGTGAAATACAACTGTATATTCTGACTTTGACTTTCTGTTTGTTTAGTTTCGAGATTATTTTTTTACGTATTTTTAAACGCGGTTCGGCTTAATGACATGTGGCAGCATTAGCGGTTGAATGAGCGGTTTAAACTTGCAGTAGCTGCTGTCAGAAGCAGCTGTGGGCTACTCGAGTGTTTTTAAGTAGGAGAGAAGATGTTTTCACCTTGTTGGTCACGACTGTCCTGCGTGGCTTTGTCCAGCCGAGGAGGTCTGAGGACGCTGAGTCTGTTCTCCAGCTCTGGATCCTCAAACTGGAGCAAAGTTGTCTCCGATGCTGAGAAGATCGTGGGATATCCGACTTCCTTCATGAGCCTCCGCTGCCTCCTCAGTGACGAGCTCAGTAACGTTGCCATGCACCTGAGGAAGTTGGTCGGCACTCAGCACCCTCTCCTCAACACTGCCAGGTAAACACCGGGTTCACCAGGTCCCCATAAATACAAAGAAACACAAAGATAGCGAGTTTATTATAGATAACTGCAAAAAATAAAAAAATAACATCTAGAAAATGCAGCTAGCTAAAATACGTTAAAAACTTGATTTTTAGGGAAATATGGGAATAAAGTGCGTACTTTCAGTTTTAACTTGAGGGGTTTAAAAATAATTCTGCATTACTACTTTAGGTGTTACAGCTATTTCAGAGCCTCAGATGTATTTAGACGAACTAACATACCTTTAAATAAAAGCATTGTTTATTTTCTTGTCGTATCTTTGGCAGTCAATGACCTGCTGGAGTCTAGAACCCATAGAAATCACCATATACAGCATTTCCTTCCTTTAGATGCTTTACTGCCTGTTTCTGCCTGTTTATGGGTCTCACTGCCCTCCGTTTTGTATTTAATAACTGTACAGGCATGCTCTCTTGGGTTGAGATCAGGTGACTGACTTGGTCATTGAAGAATATTCCATTCTTGGGTTGCTTTTGCAGTGTGCGTCGGCTGATTATTGATTTCCCCTGTGGAGCTCTGTCTGCAACATTTGGCTGAATCTGAGCAGAGAGTGTAGCCCTCTGAGGTCATGCTTCTCTTCTGTAAACTCTACCTGTGGTGCTGGCAGGCATACATGCCCACGTCTACACCATGTTTGACAAATGTGATATGCTTCAGATCTCGGTGCAGGTTCTTTTAGGTGTTCTCTGTTAAGGTCTAAAATGGCTTGCCTGTTCTTGCGTGTAACCGGTGGTTTGCACCTTGCTGTAAATCCTCTGTTTTCATTCAGGAAGCTGTGTCTTGAATGTAGACTGTGACTTGTCCTCCAGAGTGTTCTTGACTCAGATGTTGAGAAGATGTTTTTCTGAACCAAGGAAATTCATCAGTTGTCCTCTTCGACTTTCTTCTGTGGTCTTAGACATTAAATCTAATCCAGAGATTTTATTTTATTTCATTAGTTTGCCATGAAATAATGATAGGACAGTCCAAGCCAACTGTACAACTGCACTTGACCTCATTTATCCTCGTATATCCTTTCATTACTCTGTCACCGTCAGGTTACAGAACAGCTGACCACAACCAGCAGTTATTGTTTGGGGTTGTTTTTTTGTTGTTGTTGTTTTTTCTTTGAGTCAAGCAACAGCCGATGCGTTGAGAGTGGAGTTTAATTATGTGTATTTGGAAAAGTGCATACACGTAAATTTCAGTGCTTCATTCTTTACATTTTGATGCAGGGGTACAGGGAAGACTCACTTTAGTCTGTGGTCAAGTGTTTGAAAGTGTCCATAGTTTGATGTGAATACTATAATATCATAAGTAAAGCCAGCTAATAGCCTGTTAATTTCCCAGCTTTGACTGCAAGACTGGCAGATGCGAGGAAACGTATAAACCGATACTAAATGCATTACTCTGATTGCTGTTCTGTCTTACAATAACATGTATTAGCTACACATGGCATGATAGCAACTGTAGGCTCTTCTGCTAAGAAGTTTGGCACTAGCCTTGACTCTGAAGTGTGGAGCTCTCTGCAGGAAGAAACAAATTAACCCTCATAACAATTCAGCAGAAAATTTGCTGTATGTGAAGAGAATGGGGCCACTGGCTGAGATTTAATAAAGATTGAGTTCTTGTACAAAAGTGTTTTTGGGCTGAATTTGGTTCATTTAGTTGCAAGAAATATTTGGAATGAGCAGGATTTCTTTGATGACTTAAGGTGCAACACTACAATTAAACATGTTAAAGATATAAACTAATAGAAATCACCCCGAAACTCCCCGGTTGGTTACCTAAACAGAGGATATATATCTTTGTATTACAAATTTGCTAAAATTGTAAGGGCAACTATTGCACCAACATAATTTTGTAGAACATAAATCAGGTGAAAAAGTTGTTTTTCCAGTTTTTAACGTGTTTAATTCAAGGATTTTTACAAATGTATCACCGCATGAATCAGAAATGCCAAAAAATGTCAATTACTACAAGGTTTTTAGGTATAACATTGCTCATAAATAAAGCTCAGAGTGATTTTTTTATATACAAACACCTCCATAAAAACTTTTAAGAGTATAGACAGGAAGAAAGAAGTTTGTGTTGTGAGTCTGTACCTCTTCAACCACTCCAAGTCTCTCACCCAGTTCTGTTGTCCAAGTTCAAATCAGTTTCTTCCCCAGATCTTTTGGATATATTCTCACACTATTGTCAATCAATCCCTTTCATCTGGCTGTAGTCCAGATTAATTTAAAACATCCAGGGAAACAATAATTCGAGGCCAATTTTCAAACTCTTGTTTATTTCCAAAATCCTTGGCCAAAGCTGTTGCTCGTCAGCTCCAGATTGTTGAAGGAAACAGTATCTTTGCTCAGTTCCAATCTGGTTACAGACAGAACTACAGCACTGAAACCCTGCTTGAGCCTGGTTGTGCTGGAGGTTTCTTCCTGTTAAAAGGGAGTTTCTCCTTTCCACTGTTGCTAAAACACTTGCTCAAAGGAGGGTTTGGGGGTTTTTTTGCCCATAGGTGTGAATGTGCAAATGGTTGTCTGTCTCTGTGTGGTGGCCCTGCGACAGACTGGCGACCTGTCCAGGGTGTACCCCTCCTCGTGCCCTATGACAGCTGATCTAGGCTAGCATGGTGGTAGAACCATCCAGGTTAGGGTCAGCTTTGCTACTTGATGTGTGTTGTGCTTTGTAATTACTGAAGGAGGAGAAGAGGAAAGCGGTCCATGACCTGAAGCTTAGGAGAGGTTGTCTAAGTGAGGCAAGAGGATAATGATCCAAAGTTCAAAAGAAACTTGTTTTTAGAGTAAGAATCAGAGTCCTGTTCTGAAGAGGGCTGTTCAATCAAGACATTTTTATTTTTTGCAACAGTTTATATGGTGCAAAAGCAAGTTCAGAAATATGTTTGTCCTTCATTTACGTCCAGTGAAGGATTTTAGAGGAAGTGACTAAAAATGCTCGGCACTCATTATTATCCCTGAACTTTATCCGGGGAGTTGCCTGAACTTTGCTTTATCAAAAGAAATCAGGAACAGCACTAAGGAAAGAAAACAAGAAGAGTCCTCGAACTCAATCCTGCCATGCGGACGGGTGTGTTGGAAACAGGAACCCAAGGGTGTAATAACCTATACACCTAAATCTGATATGACAATCCATTTGGGTGTTGTAGCAGCAGGGGGTGGGGAGGCTGTGGGGGGGGAGGGGTGTAGCAGACCTCTTGACAGTCTGACTCCTCACTGTCAGCTTGGGTTGGCTGGTTCGTATTTCCCTCTGTGTCTCCGCCATAGACGCGCGGCAGATAAAAATATCCACAATAGCAGACAGGCAGACCCTCGTGGAGTTGGGTTTCGGTTTTTCCTTTCCTTTCATTCTCAAAAACTGCAGCTCAGCTAACTTCACCCCAAAGTGTGGAGTTACAGCGAGAGGCCTGCAGCCCAGAGAGAAGAAACTTTATTTGCTTTAAGGACAGTCCTTGAGAGTTTGACTTCGACTAGAACTCCCTTCTACTGGCTTCTACTCTTTGCATGTGATCTTCAGCCCCCACAGTGGGCATGACTGAAGGGTTATAACATAGTGTACAAAAGAATAGATGAGGTAGGCGGAGGTCTTTTGAATAGTCCAGAGCAAGACAAGAACTGCTGAAGAGACAAAAACACTCCCAATAGCAAATATGTGAACAAGTAGCTGCTGCCAGTGTTTAACCTTCAAATGTGTTATAAAAAAAGACTTTAATTTGTGTTAAATTAGAAAAAAGAGGCTAGTTTCCATTTTGCATAGGCTGTAGATTTTCGATGGAATAATGTGTGAAACAAGGACTAGTGACTGATCGTTTTGCAGCAGCACTTTCTTTTCTGTTCTGTTTGTTGCAGTATCATAAGTGCCCACTGGGATAAATTAGCAGAAAGGCTAAGAATAGTGTTAATAAAACTAGCTGATAACTTGCTTCACTAGCTTCACTCTGTCATCCAAATACCATCATTTCTGACTCTAAAAACCCCCCAAAATGCTAACGTTGAGTCCAAAGTCAACTTTAGCATTTATGCAGGCTTTGTCCATTTTTTATATACAGTCTATGCTGTTACCACTCTGCATCCAGTTCCAGCACTGCAATTAATTTATTTTCTTCCACTTATCCAATTCAGCATCACAGGGGATCTGGAGCTTGTCTCAGCTATCAAAGTGTACACCATGGACAGGTTGCCAATCTGTCACAGGCCTAACACATAGACACAGGGAACCATTCACACTAACATTCATACCTATAGTCAATTTAGAATTACAAATTTGGACTATTTAAATTAATTAAAATGTACACACATAAATGCAAAATGACAAATAAAATGAAGATGAGATGGTGCGCTTAGTTACTGTGAAATGTGACAAAACATTGAAATCTGCCTTATTATTTTTATCCATTAAGTTTGGTTGTGTATAACTTGGCAAGAGAATTAGTTTTTAATTCTTCTCTGCTCTACATGATAATTTTAAACTACAGAGAAGAGAAAATAAAACATCGACAACTGCCTCTTACCTGGCCCCTTTAGAAACGTATTGTTATTAGTTTTTGCACAATAGCTTTAGGATATTTCACTTTCATACTGTGAGTATTTACAAAAGTGCCGACCTAAAAAGTATATAAAGATGGGCCAAAATTGGTGTGAAGAAACAGAAAAAGGATTGGTACTCTTTCTTAGAAAAATATTGGAGAAAACCTCAAACGCTATGGTTTGGTTCAACTTTAAATGGTAATTTCAGCATGTGGCATAGGTGGTCATATTGATTGAAATGATACACACAATAGTTTGAAAATGTCACATTGATCAAACCACTTTATGTCTTAAAGAATTTTTTCTTAATACTAAATGCAGAAGGACTGTGGATCACAGAGAGTCCAAGAATCAGTGGATCCTTTCAGTGTTATTAAAAGCAGCTACACATTGTGCTTTACAGTGAGGAACTGCCTGCTGTACACCTGACTTTATGGAAATATGAGTCAAATCCTGGAAACCGGTTTAAACTGTTAGTCAATACTCTAAACATATCATCATCTTAATGTATCTGCTGTGCACTGTAGAGGCGGATGCATTGCATAAAATCTGTTAAATCCTGGCAAACTGGGGGGGGAAAGGCAGACACGGGATCAATACGACACCACATGTGAGGTCATACATTTGCATGCATTAATCCCTGCCGGTACTGGACGGTGGCTAAAGTTCCCGAATTCCTGGGCTGCAGTAGCAGAGCAGAAGGCGTGGTGACCTGTTCGCAACCCTTTTAAAATGACAGCAGCCCATTTCTCTCTTTCTGCTCCCGCTCTCTTCTACCACATCATCTTTTTGCCCCACCCCCTTTGCACCCTTTGCAGGAGGGCGTTTGTGATTGATTGATGTATGCTGGTGCGGATGGTGACATAAATATTAATCATCTGCCACCCTCAGGCCACAGGCTTCCCTGGACTCCACAGCTTCATAATTTTCGCTCTCTGGTCGGTTTAGCTCAACGGGCCGTGCTGCTGCGTTCATCAGCGCCCCGGTCTCAGCAACTATTTTCCAACTGGGTAGAAATTTAAAGTAGCCATAAATAAATCTTCTGAGCTGCGATGAAAGACAGCCCTGTACAGTGTCATCATAAATTTCTGGAAACTGAGGTGTTTTATGTGATTGGGTTTTTTTTTCTATTTCTTTTTTTTTGGAGGGGGGGGGGCAAAGCTCGGGGGCATTTTTCCTCCTGGTAGCACAACACTGTGAATCACTCCTCTTTCTTTCTTCTGTCATCTTTTCACGCTTTCCCATTTCTGTCTGGCCTCTATTCCCTCCATCTCCCTCCGTCCCCTCCCTCTCTTCATGCTCCGTCTCTCACATCCACTATCTGTCTAGGGTTCCTCCGCCACCCCCCCCCCCCCCCCCCCTCTGTGGCGCAGGGGTGGGTCAGAGAGGGTGGGGGCTCGAGGTTGGTAAGGCCGCTGTCTGGGCTTCGAGCAGAGGGGGGCGTGGCTGCTCGTCTGCCTCGGAGCCCCTAACGAGAGCGTGATTCATGGCACAAGGGGCTCCCATAGGGACAGGATTAGAGGTGCTCTGTCTAACCGCTCCCCAGAGAGACTAAAAAGATATTTAATCTGCCCACCACACAAGCAGCTACCACTGGCCTCTGTGTGTTTGTGGGTGTGTCTTCGTGGGTGTGCGTGTGCCTCTGTGAACACCTCAGAAGATTGTTGGTGAAGGGGGTGGGAATACCACGACCACCTCCATCACCACAACCCTTCAAATCCAAAAGAAAAAAAGTCCTGCAGTAAAAAATTATCATTTTTTTCTTGTTATTTTCTGTGTTCAGGAATAAAGTTTAGCAGTAACTATAAATGAACATGGCATTAAATGAATATGCAGAAGTGCGATACTACTGCTGCATGCAATGTGCAATATTTTGAAAAGCTCCTTTGTTGGATAAATAACACTTCTGATCAGAGAAAAAAATATGCTGCATGTATTGGTGTCTAGCAGTAGGGATATCAAAAATATGGTCATCTCTGAATGTGAGAGCAGACCTACTGTTTTTACAGGGCAACCAATCAGAAGAAGTGTGACCTTAGAGGGAGGAGGAGCTAAAACATCTTATTTTAGACAAATGATGAACTGAGAGAAATACCAAGATAAATGTTGATTATTCTGACTCCTGCACATCTGCTTTATTACAGTAGATAATAAGACAATTACTGCTTTGTTTTAGCTGTTTAAATTAAAAGTTTATTAACTGTAACTTTATAAAAGTATTACCATCCCATGCCAGTGGGACATGATGCTTTATATTCCCTAACTTTAGCTTTCACTGCCTTCTAAGAATTAAACCGAGGTGGTGGTGAAGCAGATATTGCCACGGCACTTTGCCGGATTCCTCTGGGTGGCATCGAATTCAAAGGTGTTGCACCAAAAGTCATTGCTTTGGTTGCCAGCAGATTGCCACAGTTGCCAATAGTATTTTGCAGAAAAACTAACTACTATCCAAGGTGGAAAAATTGTGTTGCAAACCAAAAATGGAGCAGGTTCACCTGCGGAGTTGTGCCTCATGCCTGCAGCTGGTTTGTGTCCAACTCAGAGGTTAGGATTAGAGAGAGATAGGTTTAGGATAGGTTTTTAGGCTTGTCTGATCGGAGCTTTTCACTCATCATTGTCACATGTCGAAAATGTAAGGCAAGTTGACATCACGTGGTTATTGGTCACATGTCTGCAAAACATCAGTAAGTGGAGTAAGCATAAGTGGTACCTGCTACATCCTCCTGTGAATTTGAACACAGCTGGTTGGCAGAGGTCTTTTTTGGATGTACTTTTGCCTGCGTGGGGCCTCCCAGCGCTCTGACTTCATCCCAAATTCATGTATTAATTGGTGATTCTAGATTAGCCATAGGTGTAAAAATGGGTGTGAATGGTTGTGCTCTGTGTCTGCCCTGTGATAGACTTCCAGCTGGTCCTGACTTCACACTCTGTGTCTTTGCCAAAACATTGCTGCTTTTGTTGTCACTACACACAATGAAGAGTGCTGCATGTGAGAGGCAGCGCTTTAATGCTGATGCTGTTTCGTTGCAGAGGCTTCGTCTATGACAGTAAGAACAACCTTCAGATGAGGGGACTGGTTGTCCTGCTGCTGTCTAAAGCCGCAGGGCCAAGCCACGCCGCCTCCGATCTCCTAGCCCAAGACATGGTCAGCGGCATCTACCCCAGGTAAATCACCTCAAATCGTGATACTGTTGTGATAATTATGTCTCTGCTTATTAGTAATTAGATTTGGTTAGCAAATATCAATTAAAACACTCGTCTCTGCTTTTTTTTTCTTTATAATACATAACATGAAAACTGCAGCTGGTTGTTTTTTTAATTGAAGGTTAAATGTTCCACCTTCATTTGCAGTTGCATGGCTGCTAAATCAAATCTGTAACCACACACAGGCAGCCAGGCTTTCACTTTTCATGTATGTGCTGTTCGGGGGGAAAACAGTGGGCAGTGTGAACATCTGTAGCGATGGATCGTAGAGCCATAAATGTGCGTGGCAAGCCGAGCGAGAAAGGCGATGCCACTTTTGTCCCTGCTACATGGCTGCTGAAGGATAAACAGTGAAATAAAATCCTCGTGTCAGGTAATTCTATCTCGTCCTCTGTGGTTATCCTCCATATCAATTCCTGTAAATGAAGCACTACATCATCCTGTGAATATGATGAAATATGGAGACAATACAGGCGCAGTTGCAAGATCAAGTGTTTTGTATTGTATTCGGTTATATTTAGATTCCGGGTGATTGTGAGGGGAAATACATTAGGGAGAAATTTTAGCCTGAAAAATGTACATGAGGTGTGAAAACTTTTGTTGATGAAAATTTGACAATAAAAAAAAAAGTTTTTGTTTTTTTTTTGGTCTAGGGATAGACAAGAAATGTGGCCAAAGAAGGGAAGGGGAATTCTGTAAAGGCTCACGATCACTTCTCAGTCAGTGTATCACGAGCTCAGCGGCCTCCCAGGCATCAGTTGAAACTATAGATGGTGTAAAAGAGAGACGCAGCTCCTGGGACTGAAAAGTGAAGCCACTGCTGAAATACCTTAAACCTGCATTCTTGTTCATGCCCAACAGGGGGAGACTCCACTAGTTGTAAGAAGATTTCTGGTTGTATGGAAGTCTGAGGAGAAACTGTGACCTCAGTAAATTTGAGGCTTAGTCTCTTGTTTGTTTGTTTTTCACGGTGTACTGGGAAAAAAAAGCCATGAAGCCCATTATGTAAACAAAGGTCATTGTTAAGGTCTTTACACACCGGCCACATAAAATTCGTGCAAATATATATATATTTTTAATTTAATTTAAAAAATTTATTTGTAAAAACTGATTAATTAAGATAAGAATAGGTGTGTCTAAAAAACCAAGCTCATTTCAAATTTTTCAAACCCAAATAAACAGATCTGTCCAATCGGACCAGACGTACTGGTACTGAACACACAATGACATGGAAATAGTAAAATATTACTGGTTTACCTCGGACACACAGCTAGACTCTGCAAACAATAGCTCACACATCCTGAAATATTGCAAAAGCATTCGTAATACAGCTTCCTGAGAATCAGATGAACCCAGAATCTCTATTTCTTCCTTTCCTGGTTTAGAGACACCAGGACCAGGAAAAAAAACCCCAGAAAGAAACACCAGGACCAGCTCATCATTGCTCGATAGAAAAAGAGGATTATGGGTATGCTTACTGGCTAGCAACATAGCAAATGCCAGTTTATAGCCAATGAGCTTGCGGTGTGAGGCTTTCACAACCGGACTTGACTAACAAATTTAGAAGAACAGCTAATACTATAAAGAATTTAAAAGCTTTTAAGAAAGGGAACAGGTGCAAAGATTATTCAGTATTACTGTTTTAGCTTTAAATTGATATGTCTGCTTATTAAGTTGGGCTAAGCCATTCATCACTGTATTCTCCGTGCTGGAATTGGGAATTAAACTCCCCATTGTCACTGGTCATGAGAGGTGAAGCTTATATTTTTAGGCTTATATATGCCACAGCCCAGGTAGTATATAATAATATCATATTCCAGTAGCGCTTGGACCAAATCCTCCATCCTCTTGGCTGCTGGAGCTTCTGGGTTTACCACCTTGCACCCAGGTTGTATGCACTCTAACCAGTCATCCCCATTGGGTTGGTTTGCCACTGTTAGCCATTTGAGTGTCATAGCTTTAAAAAATGTTACAGACGTCCATAATTCCGGCATTAATTAGAAGTTAAATTTTAGTATTAAAGTGAGATTGGTACACGATTCATATAAATTTGCTCCCCAGAGTATGAATCTGGCATATCTTCGCAAATACGTATTAAACTGAAATCATCATATTCATGTTCTCAACAAAATGCCATCAATTACTCTGGCAAACTGCTTTGAGATGGAGGGAGTTTCAGCCTTGGTTTCCAGACTGGAGGTGTTCAGTCTCAGTTGTTTAGAGTTCTTTAAAATGAGCAATAAAGCCTCAGGGAGCAGCTGCAGACTGTTAAGTCTAAATATGGTGTAAATGCAATAAAATGGCTCAACAAAATCACAAACTTAACACAGCAGTTTATTTTACATATTTAAATAAAAAGTGTTTAATGTGGTGTTGATGCTCTGATGCTAAAATACTTTAGGCAGCGCTCCACAGTCCTCTCAGGCTTCCACACACATATCCAACTAGCAGCATGCAGCTCAGAACAGGGGTGTGGGTGTGTGCCAAGTGGTTTCCAGAAGTGACTGCTGTGTTTGGCGTGGCTATGTGCTGGGAGCCTGAAAGCCTCCTTTCTTACTGCAAGCTGGCACCAGGCACATGTGTGCAGTGGAGCCGCGTCTGTGCAGAAACATCCTAATATTAGAACTAATTGAAATAAGCCAGGCGTTGTGGAGGAGCTCGAGCCCAGCCCCGTTCGGTCTGCAAGGCCGCGAGTTTCTACACAGTCACCTCGTGTTACATCCCTGTGACACCGGATCACCGAATCCAACATGCTGCATTCTCTCACTTGCGTGATAGATGGTCCGAACCCAAACACACACACACACACACACACACACACACACACACACACACACACACACACACACACACAGAGCATGACTTGATCACCTCATTTGCACTATTTTGCCTCTTCTCTCTCTCTCTCTCTCTCTCTCTCTCTCTTTCTCTGCCCCCACCTCTCATGAGCTCATTAGCACCTCTGCTGATGGCGAGATGGAAGGATGGAGGGAGTCAGGGTGGGGCGGGTTTGGGGGGTGATTGAAACCTCCGGGGGATGGTCTCCTCCCTCCTGACAGGCAGCATTTGTAAAACATTTCCCACTCTGCTGCCTGACACTGATGATTCACCAGAGCACCACCATGATAGATAGATAGATGGATAGAAACACAGGCACATACATGTACAGTCCAACTTGTACCCACCACACCTCTTAATTTTTTGTGACAAATGAAAACCATGCTACTGTGCATCATGCAGGCCGTGTGATGGACAGGCCACCTCTTTAAATCGCACACAGGGACGCACACAGATCTGCAAGGCAGTGTTTGATGGCGAGGCAGACTGCGGAGGGAGGAAATTGAACAGAACAGTCAGGACAAGGGGCGTGGTGAGGGGCGTTACACCTCTGCAAGATGGCATCGGTTGCTATGCAACTGGGCACCAAAGCTATTTATACATCGGCCCCCTTGTCCCCCTTTTTCCTCCCCAAGCTCTACTGCTGCTGATCAGGTCTGGCAGAGTAGAGAGTGGGAATTTGTATGCACCGGGGTTCGACTGATAGGGGGGTTCTGGTACTTTGTGCAGGAGTTTCATTTTGGGTTTCCTCATTTTCTTCCACTGCTGTTAGAAGTTAAAACGATAAATAATAATAATAATATTATCTCTAAAAGAAAAAAATGAATTCTCACCAATTAAACATTTTGCATTGAACCACATTGGGAAATTAATTATCTACATTAATTCAATCTGATCGATCATCTGCCAGATTCAAATCTTTTATATTTTCTTTTTTTAGAGACTCCCTTCACCTTTTCAAAGATCTCTTGTTTGGCCTTAAAATATAAATAGATAGTTTTTTTCTTCCAGCAACCTTTTTATGTATATAATCAAAATAAGCATCCAGAAACAAACCAATACAAAAACGCACAAACTAAAAAACTGCTCTACTTCCATGAATAAAACATCAAGAATATTTGTAGAAAATACCTGGGTTGGATAAATACTGCATGATTTATAGACATTATTTTTTTTCTTTTTGTTCACTAAACTCACACCTGCACCATCATGCAACTTGTCCACTGGTGGAGGCCTTTTGTAACGGTCAATGTAGCAGAAATGAAAAATGCTGCTCCGGGGATGTGAGACAAAGTGGGGGACCAATCCATGCCCAGGTCTGGGTCTCCACTGACAGGTGATTTAACTTGAAGGACTTCTAGGTAAGTACTGAAAATGTTGCCGTAGCTTGATATAATATTTGTGGATTTTTGAAGAATAAAAAAACAACCCAAATCAGCTCTTTTACTCTAAATAGGGCGGCGATTTTCAAAATGAGCATTATCATGAAAAAATTTGCGAGACAAGCAATTAAGACCATAAACTTCAAGTAATCAGGAAGTAAAATAAAAAGTGGGGTTGTTTTGCCTGCAGACCTCTACATCCTTTTACTGTTTTTTTAGGTAGGAGAGTCGCCCCCTGCTGGCTGTTTAGGAAATAAAATGAGCATAATATGTTTTTCTGAAAAACTTAAGACTTAAATTTTTATTCACGTATTAACATGATGGGAGTTTTTTGTTTTGTTTTTCGCCCCTTTACGGTTAAAGAATTTTTTCTTGTGTAGTGTACTTCGGAAAATCTGATAAAATAAATTTTTCCCAGATTGTTACTTTACTTGAAACAATTATGCACTGAAATAAAAATGATAAATTCATAAATAGTTTTGTTTCAGTGTTTCAAAATAAAGAACGGCTCTGACAAAAATGTCAGAGCCGTTTAAAAACTCTGTTTAAAAACTGCTAAATCAGTTTTGTTGATTAGCTGATCATGTACTAATCTTTTTATCCATTAATGTTGGAATTTAGTGTGGTAATGTGTCTCGATTGCTAAGTTGTTGTTTGTTTGTTTGTTTGTTTTTTAACTTAGTAGACTTAAACTGACATTGCTGTCTGGATTTTTTATTCATAAACAAGCATAAAATGAGCTGCTTCATTAAATAAAGTCACTTTAAGGTTGGCCAAATAGGCTCTGAAGTGAGAATCATAAAGTGACATTTTTAAAGCCGGTTTCAGCAGAGAAACTCTTCTGTATTGATTTAACCAAGGCTAAAGGGACTGCTTTTTGTTCTGTGTCAATGACCATTTGTCGGGTATTGTATATTGTTTTGCTGTATCCCTGTGGAGCTTGAGTAGACGGTCTCTTGGCTCTCTCTTAGTTCAAGTGAAAAAGCAAAGAAAAGGGTCACCGTAAGATGACTTGGAATAAATTTTAGCCTGTTGTTTTTGCGATCCAGAATCAGCCCTGGCTCTTTTTCTTGTTCCTCTTGTTGAAACAATGAGTCTTCCTCGTGCAGCCCACCGAGCGTAGCCATCACTTCAAGGCACCTTGAGAACACGAGCCTGTCAATCTGTTAATTTCCTCTTATTTAAACCCTGAACTTATTAACTTCTCATTCTGTGTTGTTGCTCTGCGTCACCGAGCAGAGAAACCAACCAGACAATGGGTGTGATTGAGAGGCAAAATAGATGACATTATTGAATTTTAATCACATCTTTTCCTTCACCGTCGTCGAACACGGCAATTACCTGGCTACAAGTGTGTGTGTGTGTGTGTGTGTGAGTGTGTCTTTAGGAAGGAGTTGAAGCTCAAAGCCGACGACCGGCTCATCAGGTCCTCATGGCGGCTGAAAGAAGGTCGTAAGTGGCTATCAGTGCACCCGACCCTGTCTGGATGGATCCCTCCTGTCACAGCATGGCGAGCTCCTTCCATATGGAGAGGGGCCTAATTATCCCCCACCAATGACTGAATCAACATTTGATTATATCCTCCCCAAGGCTGCGCTGAAAGGCTCTATTCAAAGACCACGTTTATGTCTTTTCTCTCATAATCAAGAAAGGCTGTTATTTGCTAATGATAAGCCTAATTTCTTTTTTTAACACAACCACTGACGTGCTGTGCAGCAAAATGTCTGACATATCTGCTGCTTTATGCCCTTGAGGATACCGACTCCGATTTTAAAGGGGACCTATTATACTTATCCATAATTTATGTCATATATTTATACAGCTACAACAGTGGATGCTTGTATTAAACATGGCCAAAGATTCATATAATAAGATCAGCGTATGCAGACATTTTTTTTTTTCTGCATTTGGATCTGTAGGCTGTTGAAGTCGGGAGATGTACCTAATATCGTTGCTCGTCTCTGGCACACTGAACAGAAAGGGCAACCAATCAGGGTAATAGTGGCTTAAAGGGAAAAGGAAGAAGGCTGAAAAGGCTCGTTTCTGACGTAGACTGTATATAAAAGAAGTACTTAAAGTTGCGTTGTTTTTGATGACCAGCGTGGGGAGGGGGGCTCCTATGGTTCCAAAACGTCCATTAATATAGAAGCCGATGGGAAAATGTATCTCCCACAGTTCCTCGTGGGTTTCAAATCTTGGTGGTCTACAGCCAAAATGCTTCAGAAATATACGTAATAAAACATTTCTAATATTGGACCACTGGCTCTGGTTTTCATGATGTGCTACCAGGTCGGGTGTAAGACCAAAAGCTCGTAACTACAACCAGAAAAGACGCAGACCTTGGATTCGACCTTCTTAGTGTAATTTGTCTAAGTACAGACTAATGATTAACAAACTTCTGTGTGTCTGAAAGGAAAAACATGTGAGCCGGTATATTGGCTTTTTAATTTACCAAATATCTGCGTGGTGCCCGTCTGACTTTGTATTGGAGTTCAGAGTCGTAGCCGACAATGCGATCACTGTGGTGACTGCAAACACATCCTTTATTAAATTCAGTACAGTTTTTTATCAATGGATCTAAAGCTAAGCTAAACTGCTAATATAGGGCTTTATTCATTTTTCTCCACAAATGTCTTAATTTGTTACATAATAAAGAACAGATGAGAAAACATATGCTTGTAATTTATGATTAAAACTCATCTAATAGCCAATCAAGTCAGCTTTATTTAAATAACATTAAAAATGCAACAGATGTGAAAGTGCTGGGCAACATGTGCAGTCAGTTGTTTTAATCATCTTATTTGGACTTAGCACATCAAAATCAATGGGTAATGGCACATTTTAAAAATTCGTCCCATTTAATGGTTTTAGACACATTTTAGAGACCCTCTCTTTTTATAAGTGTTTGATTGAAGTGAAAGGACTGCAGCTCCTGAATATTGGCGCTTTATTGGTTGAATAGATGCTTTTCCTTTTCTGAACGTGGAAGATCAAGAAACCCATAAGTCCTTTGTTTTGACCGATTTCTTTGTGATCAGCATACCTCTGCGGTAATGCTTGAATGAGTTTTCAAACTTTGCCAACTCGAAGACAATAAAAATGTTTCTGTCAAAAAGCTCTCTAACTGTCAAACCTCAGGAACGCCTGTTTTAAAAGCTGCTGACGACAAAGCTGTGATTTTTAGATTTATTGTTGTTTTTGGTGGGGGGATTTCTGTCTCACAGTCAGAGGAACCTGGCAGAAATCACAGAGTTGATCCATACAGCCTTCCTGGTGCATCGTGGGATTGTTAACTTGAAGGAGTGGACGGACTCAGACGGCCCGCTGAAGGACATGCAGTTTGGGAATAAGATGGCTGTTCTGAGCGGCGACTTTCTGCTGGCCAATGCTTGCACGGGACTGGCCCAGCTCAACAACACTAAGGTATCCTGTCCGTCACTAACACTTCTCCTGAGAAATATTTGACCTGACATGACTGATTTCAGGGGGAAGGGCTGCTCAGTATGAGCCCTTCGAGGTCCCGAGAGCCTCGCGTATCAGTGCCAGACTTCATACCGACATCTTTTCTCTCAGTCATCTCTTTGTAGACATGAAATGTATTCAATAAAACACATTTTTAGCAGTTTTGCTAATTCTTATTCAAGGTGATGCAATCCTGATATTCATTTATTTGTGTTAATCTGCTTTAATGTCATGTTTTTCATTTTGCCTGCTTAATGCTCCCAATTCCTTTCCTATAGTCCTTTACATCCTATCCCAGGGTTAGGGCCTGAAAGCCTAGAAAGCCTAGCTTCATCCCAGACCTTTGAATCATCTCCTAATATTGTTTTTGATTAATGTCAGCATTATCAGTTGAAGAATCAGATACCAATCGGAGAAGAGTTTGTCAACTAAAGAAAATGGGAAAGGAAAAAAGTCCTGAAAAAAGCTTTTGTAGTCCTGTGTTGAACCTGGGCTGACAAAACAGAGCAGATCATGTTGGACTTGGAACTAATAAATATTACAGAATATTCCTTTTTACTGAAGAGCTGGAGAGAGAGAAACGACTCAAAATCAATTGAATCTAACCCAGATCGCTAGAGCAAAAGAAATGAGAGGAAAAAAGCTTTTTGCTTTTGCTTTTCAGTAGACTGCTCACATGGCGTATTACTACCAAGCGGATCCATCACAGTCATGGTTGCGTTGCCAAAAATGCGAAGCTATATTTCTATAGTTCACTTCAAGCTACAGCACAAGTTGCATCATAGGACACATGCCTAAGGATTTCAAGCATTTAAATGAACAACTGTTCATTTAGATTTTTTGTGTGCACACATGTGCATAGTGTAGTGAACCTTCTATTTTTAAATATCAGAGCTTTGCAACTGTGAGATGAAATGTGTTCAATGTGTTTGTTTGACATGACACAAACGATAATCGTAAAGACAGTGGTTTACCCATCGGGCACCTTTTAGTTAAATCAGGGCTGTCAAATTTATTTTAGTTCAGGGCCCGCAGACTTCTTCAGATTTTCCTCTTTTGTTTAAGTGTAAAGGTCCATGTGAAAATGTTCACATTTAATGAACTGTTTTTTATTTGCAAAACACGAAGAGCAATTTGAACAATATGCAGTTTTTTCACATTGAGTCATTCCAGTTACACTAAAAAATACATTTAAAAATAAAATACACTGGCATTGGTTCTTGGCTTAACCACATCACTTGTGTGCAGTGTAGCAGACTACATGTGAAGTCTTTCAGTCGTTCTAGTGATGATGCAAAGTACTGGAAAAACTTCCACATTTTTTTCCTCCGTCTGTGATTTTCAGCGCTGCAAACCCAGACTGGATCCTTTGGCGGGCCGTTTTTGGCACCCTGGGGTTAAATGGTTCTAGAAAACCAAAGCTTTGCTTCAGACATGGTGGGATAGAATGGTTCTTCACTGCTAATTTGGGGGGGGGCTTTTTTGTCATTTTGAAGATCTGAAACAGAATTAAATGACTTAATGACTTCTTTCACACATCCTTCAACTTTCCAACAAATTTCAAGAAATTCATCTCAGTTTTTGCAGGCTAAGAAAGAGGGCGTGCACTCCAGCAGTTTAAGTGGACGAATAACTTCTATTACAACTACAACTTGGCTAATGGTAACACTTTCTCATAGCATTGTTTTAGTGAGCAGATACTGCTTGGCAAGCATGACAAGTTTTGAAATTCAAGGATGTGTGGTGAGACACAGGTGAGACCTGATCTTTTCCTGGTTCCTAGATTCTCAGCAGGTGGTCCCCTTTTCTTGACAATTCAGCTGTCATTCTAATAACTTCATGTTTCACACGGTAATCATCTGGCCACCTGGAGGGGCTTTCATCCTCAAACTCCTTCAAACATGGATCTTCCTAGCAGCATATTTGAGGTGCAAGTGTCAGTCTTTGCTACACGCTGGTAACGAGGTTATCAAGCATATAAACTAGTTATAGTTTTAATCTTTTGACGTTGGTGTGGGAGCAGCCTTGTGAGAGCATCTGAGATCATATCTGCTGCGTAGCCTGGTAACCCCTCGTTGACAGATGCTGTCACCACGCTGCTGCCTCAGAATGCAGTTGCCTGAGTGGATCAAAATAACCATCTCCCCCTCCCGTGCCATCAACCGGACCAGCCCTTGTCGCCTTCCCTGATGCTTCTTTTTCAGCACACGCAGGCATATGTTGTAGGTTCCCAGTAGTGCTTGTTGTATAAGAAACACAGAGGGAGTTATAAACCAACCTTTCCTTGATCAGTTACAGATAATTCTAAAGGTGTGGTGCTTCCTTAATAGTGCTAATTGTCTCTGTAACAATACTAAGAGATAATAGACACTCTGTGGCTAAGCTACAAATTACAGTAATGGAACTGATATTGTTGTTTCCCTGGAAGATGAAGAAAAACACAGTGAGAATGAAATGATGGCAGATCTGCTGATGACTCAAACTAACGATGATTTAATCCTATTAAGCGTGCATTCAAGCCAAGCACATTGGCATTGATTAAACTGAACGCTTACAGCACATTTTCCTTTAGCATTGTTCATTTTCAAGGTGAGAACAATGCCATTCATACTCAGCTAGCACTAAATTACCACAGAGCAATGCTGGAGAGTATTAACCTTTTTTTTTCTTTCTCCCAAACAAGCCTGCAATCTGAAGCAACCACAGGAAGCATCCCCCGTAGTGGAAGTTTTTAGAGGTAATAAGGAGATGGACATCTGATAGCTCACAGTTACTCATGTTTGAAAAGGTTAGCAAAACAAAATGAACCAAGGGGAAACCACACCACAGCATGCACTGATGCTCATATTTTCAGCCTTTTTCTCTGGTTGGAACACAGTGGAAATGAGATTATTGTAAACAGCAGAGATGAGTCCATAATGCTGAGCTGAAGGTACAGAAATGTGGTTTAGTTTGGGCTGGATTTTGGTGTTGAGCTCTGCTCTGTTTAATTTATTGGAAAAGTAAAGCACAGTTAATTTCTTTGACTGTAATTTTTACCTGAAGAAATTTTTAGATCCTTAGTCTGATGTTTTTATATCAGATTGTTGTTGTTTGTTTGTTTGTTTTTTACTTTTATACATATGCATCTACGTTTATACATCGTTTTATGCATTTATTTGAGTGGTTTCTACTACTCAAATGACTTCAAAGTCCACCTAATTATACTTAATTAAATCAGCACTGGTGAAAAAGAAAAATCTGTGTTATCTGTGTAGTTTTTAATGGTTTTTGCTGCTCCATGTGCATAATTCTTATGGGCAGAATTTCAAATGTAGCCAAGTGTAGAAAGTTGAAACTTTGGTGACCTCAGAATCGAGTCTCTCATTTTTGTGGATGATGTGGTTCTGTTGCCCTCACCATGTGACGCCCTCATACTTTGCTGCTTTGCACCTGAGAGTGAAGCAGCAGGAATAAGGTCCAGGTCAGCGCTCAGTTGCACAGTGACCTAAAGAGCATGATTATAGATGAACTTCCTATGAAGGGTTGTTGGACTCTCCCTTAGCAATAGGGGGAGGAGCTACTACTACTGAGTCACTGCTACTCCTCCACATGGTTCAGGAATCTGACTGGGGCCTCCTTGGTAAAGTGTTCTGGGTTTTCCTACTTGGTGGAGCCCATGAGATCTCACAGCTGGCTTGGGCGCACGTCACTGTCTCCTCAGATAGGCTGAAGGACATGGCTAGGGAGAGGGAGGTCTGGTCTTTCCTGCTAACCTGTTCCACAATATATCACTTATTATTATTATTATTATTATTATTATTATTATTAAATATTTCTTTTGCAAAATTGGTCTTTAAATATGTTTACATTTACTTTTCTGTATCAAGAGTCTCTAGAATTAAAAAATAGTAATTTAATATCATAATAAATACATAAAACGAGAAGCCAGCTCAGTTCATCGGGTTGAGCAGGTGATCCATGTGCTGTAAGGCTTTAGCAGAGGCCCAAGTTTGAATCCATCCAACATCCGGGGTCAGCCTAAAGCACAAAAAGCCCCCAAAATACTTTAAAAAGACATAAAACATGAATAAAATACTCAACTAAAACTAATCCCTCAAATTTTATTAAGAAAAATAAAATATTTGGCACAGGCCAATAGAGGCATTACTTAAAATGCTGCCTGTTATATTTGGATGTGCAGCAGCTGTTGCACAAAGCCAACATCTGTCTCGTTAGCATTAATGTTTCCAGAGCAGAGCTACAGCTTTAAAACAAACTAAATTTTGACTTATTCTTAAAGCATTTGTTGCACAAATTATTCTGTTGTCAGGAAAAACACCTGTTAGCCTCGAGTAACGTGTTATCTTTGCCTCACCTGCTTTCCTGTCGCTGTGTGTGAGGAGCTGCCTGAGTCTGAGGGGACGAGAGCACAAGCAATGAAGCTAAATGAATCTCATTCTTTAAATCCGAAACAGCTCCTTTTATTTGTCGCAAGTTACTCTGGAGCATCACTTGACCATTTAGCATACCCATTATACCATTTGGTTGTGTAATTCCATGAATGCGGATTTACTCTGTTGATTAGTGTCAGCTGTGCATTATTAGTTGTTGTATTATAATATAAATGATTCGTATGATTAGAACTGTGAGTTAGAAGGATGCACAGTAAATGCAAGTCCACTTTTAATAGGTTCATCAGCACTGCTTGTCGTGAACAGTATAATACATTAAATCCTAACGGAAAACTGCAGCAGGTGCTGTGAGTTCATATAGGAGCTGAAACATTCATGTCACGTATATAAATCTGACTATACGCTTTAGAACTAATCTGCCTGGCCACTCTGTTAGTGCAATTAACCAGACAGCAAGCTATGCTGTTGTCAGATAACTGCACTAAAATGCTCAAAAAGGCACAAATGCAACAAACGTTGTTGAGTAATTCAGATTGGTGAGAGTGGAGGTAAAGCCTCGCAGAAAGCTAACGGTGCCAACCTGTCACTTAAAGTAACCCCAACACCCAAAATTGCAAACATTAAGCACTGATACAGTTTAAATGGATGAATTATGAAATAAATTATAAATTATGAAAGTGTAAGTTAGCTGAAACTGTTTTATGGTTGTTGCAGGTTTTAATCATGTCTACTTCTGCTGCGAAGTGCTCAGTTTAACATGGGAATCTATGTGGATCGACTCCCTTTTGGAGCCAGCCCCAAGAGGACATTTGAGGAACTGCAGTTTTTGGAATTTGCAAAAAAAAACCCAGTTGGAACTGTTGTACAGGAGAGACGCAGTATCGTATTTCTAGAAAATGGCATGAGAATTGGCACTCTAACATTTTCATTTTTGCATATATTTTTCCTGTTTTTTTGTAGAGTTTGTAAAGATTTACTCTTAATCCTGTATCCTCTTTGTTTTACCTGAAAGAAAAAAATCTACAAATATGCTGTTGCATTTTCAAACTTATAATTACTCCAAGGCTAATGCAGTGAAGGCTATAAGACATTTTGCTTTTCACCGTTAAAATCTGTTAACAGCCGGATATTTACAGCCCTTTAACAGCTAAACTGTGCAGTTGAGTCTGTTGTTAAATATTGAAGGTGCAGGGTAACAGATGAGTGTTTCCTGTAGCTTTTAAAGTTTTTCTCATAAAACAGGCTTTTTTTTTCTTTTAAGGCACTGAGAGCGATGGAGATTATATGTCGTGGCCTTGAGAGAAAACCTATGCCGCTACTTGTATAAACTGTAAAATAATCTTCCCGTGGAGCTCCGGTTTCTTCCCCCTCGCAGACCTGTCGGCAAAACACGATCTGGCTAGATTTGGGAATGGAGTAAGGGGGAGGCAGGGGGAGAGATGATCTGATACTTTCCAAAAAAAGCCCCCCACTGGCCCCCACTTCCCAACGCAGGCCAGGCAGAGACACCACATCTGGTAATACTGTAGGCACATTGTCCTTCCAGGTCTGTGGGCGAAGCTCAGGTTTCCTCAATATTTTCCCCTAGTGGATTCAGTTACCCAAAGGACATTGCGAGGCTGACGGAGCAGCCAGCGTCACCAGACTTTTCTGATGAACCAAGGATGTCTGGGATGAGCTGAAGGAGCTCTAAATTTAACCTCATTCATCTGAACTGTAACAGGCGTGGCCCCGTCTCCACTGTCCACGCTGTTCTGTGGCTGTGAATGAAGGACGGAGACATGGTCTGCCTTTTTTTTTTTTTCTTTTACTCATTCAATAGATCCAGACATAAACAACCACTTTAAAAGATACAGCCTCTTATCTGGTGGTTGATGAGAGGCTGGTAGGGTTTCTGTAAGCTAAAATGTAGGCATGCATGCCCCCTGTAAGGGGAAATGGGCAACTGCACTCTTAAGCAAACAAAACGCACACATAAGGCCCATTTTAGCTTCATCTTTAAGTTTTGTCTTAGTTTGGTTTTTAAAAATGTATACAAAGCATATTTAATGGCTCACTGATTGCAGATGTAGTGGTTATTTAGACTTAAGGCTCATTTTCCTTTTTCATTTGACTCACAATGTTTTTGCAGAATCCTAACCTTGTATACTAATGAGGCAAACCCAGAGGTACAAAGTGTAAGAAATCTTTGAATAATGAGGGAATATGAGAAAAGAGAACCCGGAGGTCAGATCATCACTCTCAAAACCTTGTTAACCCCTCTGCTCTCTGGACACCACCTTATTTTATCTCACCATCTGCCTTTTAGCTCCATTTCAGCCCCTCAGACCAGACAGACACCCGAGCCGGCTCTCTCAAACCGGACTCCTCTATAAATACAAAGTATAATGAACGAAGGCGAGCCTGGATGTGCTTCATGAAATCGCCAGGAGCTCCCCTACGGAGCGAAAATGAGCAGCAGAGTTGCAGTTCACCTGGCTTCCAGCACATCTCACCTCCGATTAATTCTCCAAACCAGCTGTTCAGATACCGTTTCCTCGCTCTTCAGTCAAGGGGGAGGGGGTGTGGGGGGGGATTGTGGTTTTTAATTACAAATGTCACAGATGAACCGAATAGCGTGTCGGTTGTGATCAGCCTCATTTACATCGACATTTTAGGAGTTTAATCAGCGCTGTTAGCCTTAGTGATTTATGAGGAGGGAGAGGCTAAGTGCAGTACCTGACCTGGGGACACTTGAAGAGGTCAAGTAGCTGCACATGTTGACCGCTGTGTGAATCAAACCTGTAATCTCTGGCTCAGATATGCACCTTTTGGCACCTTTTGCTTTTTGTTTGGCCTCTCAGGCGGCTTCATGAGGTCGTCACCTGAAGCTTTTTTTTTTTTAGCAGACTGAAAGGAGTTCCCACATGTGCTGAGGATTTGTTGGCTGCTTTTCCCTCACTGTGTGATCCAGCTCATCCCTAATCAACTCAGCTGGGTTTAGGTTTGGCGATTGTGGGGGACCAGTAAACTGATGCAGCACTCTGCTTCTTGGTGAGATGGCCTTTACAGTGGCTGGCGGTTTATTTGAGGTCATCCCACTCAGTATAAAGCAGGTCTTCACTGCTCCTGGTTCAGGCTTCACTGTTGGGACCAAACATGCAGACACCTGTGCGTCCTAGCTTTGGTTTCACAGTTGAATTTCTTGTGCTTTTCTTCTTGGTCATCAAAAATCTTTTTTGCAAAGTTTAACATGCTTTCTGATGAAATTCCTGTCTGTCTTTAAGTGATTTATTGTTGACTTTAATTCCTGGTTTGATACAGTTATTATATTTTGGATGATAAGTCAATGATATCAAGTAAAATGAGCGTGAATACGAAACTTTAAGGTCCTAATCTGAAACAAACATCTTCAACGTGTTTTTCTTTCATTTTGTCTTCGACAGGTCGTTGAATTGATCTCCAGTGCCATTGGTGATTTGGTTCAAGGAGTCTATTATGAGAATTCCCACAATACAGAGGTAAAACATCTTTTCTTCCCATACAATACATACTTATCCGTTTTCTCTGGACCTTGAAATATCCCAATGCCTTACTCAAATTAAATTTGGTTGATCTCCTGTTCAAGGTAATCTTCTCTGTATCTCCAGAAAACTTCTAGCACATCTGCAGTTTTTAGGTCTCTCTGTGGAAGCGTCATTCTGGCCATACTGTGCGCTCTGCAATTTCACACCAGAAATTGCAAAGTGTAAAAACTTGCATGTGCTATTTCAGTCTAGTGATGAGAGATGAGTCTCCAGCTATGATGACTGAGCAGTTTTCTGCTGAAGAGACCTCTGTTCACAAGGCTTAAATGGACTGTACTTAGATGGTGCTTTTTTCTCACTTTGAGCACTCCTCACACATAAACAGGTTTGGGGTTTTTTTTTTTTTGTCTATGCATGACATAAACACACGCTGATGAATGCATCTTGCCTATACTTTGGCATGCACACTGGGTGAACCAGGAATCTTCCGATTAATAGCCAACCTGCTCTATTTTCGCACCACCCGGTATTCCCAGGTGGTCTCCCATCCAAGTCCTATCCAGGGACAACCCTGCTTAGCTTCTGAGATCAGATGAGAAGGATGTATGGCTGTAAGCACTGACAGGGTGAACCTCTCTGTGCTGTAACATCCTAAGCTGTCTGAGAGAACATTCAGTTCATTACATTATTATGACACCTTTTTTTGACCTGCCCAGCTCGCTTTACATCACTGCGATTTCATCTGCTTCCCAAAAGTAAAGATGAGGTTGAAGAATTCTGACACATTGGAGGAGGCATAGTGCTAAGACACAAGGCACAAATACATGAAACAACGTACACTGACGCACTAGGAATGGTCCAGAGATACATAAGAAGGCCATTCAACAGCGGGAGACCTACCATTCCAATCATTTATGCCAATTTAAACATGGTTAAAGTTTAAAATAGAGAAGATATCCTTGCTATCCTCATCTTGGGCACACAGCTCCATCTGTGAGCACAGAAGTCCCACCTACCTGCTGTTCAAGCCTTGTGGTTACAATGGGCAGCCAATCAGAAGAAAGTTGGCCTTAAAGTGACGATGACCTGAGCTGAAGAGCTAAAACTGTTTATTTCAGACAGAGAATGAGCTGAGGGGCGGCATCAAGGCCCAGGAAAAGATAAATAAGGTCAGAATCTGAACAGTGAATCAGTAAAAGCTCTTCTAGTAGACCTCACTAAAGTCCGTTTTTATGTTACTGCCACATTATTAGGACTATACTGAGCAGAGGACATCAAGCTCATAATTTGTGTACAACTACCTTTATTAATAAGCAGTAATTATGAGGTTATTGAGCAGAAAATTCTCAGTTGGTCAGGTTTTGTAATTGCTCACAAACAGTTAATTTACTACTAATAAAGAGGTAAATTGGCAATTTGTTTATGGTGAACATGTGCTCAGTAATGTAAACTATTGCTGTGGCTGTGTAGTTGTTAGCACATTTGCCTAATAGCAAGAAGGTCCAGGGTTTGAATCCACTGGCTGGGGCCTTTCTGAGTGGAGTTTGCATGTTCTCCGTGTGCCTGAGTAGCTTCTCATGAAACACCCACATTTCCAGCCAGAGTCCAAAGACATGCACAAGGTTATAATTGGTCATTATGTCATTATGTGAATGGTGTTTCTAGATGATATAGTGGCAAACTGTCCAGGGTATGCCCCACCTTTAGCCTTTTAAGGGTAGGTTCCCTCCACCAATACAATGCCTGCTACAGCTTTAGTGCCTGACTGCTTCATGGAAATGACCTTTTTAGGAACAAAGAAAAACGTCATATAGCCTCTTTTGAAATGTCTGAATCATCCGTAGAAAAAATTTGGGTATAATGTCAGAAAATCAGAAAGTACTGAGAGGCAGAGAAAAATGCTTTAGGTTATGTACTTTTTTCATTTAGTAACACCAGCAGCCTTATTTTAAGAAATATACTATTGCAAAAGCAAGCTTACTCAGATTCAGTTAAAAGCTTCAAGAAACCAAAGATAATATGTTTGGTTGCCTTTAGATTAAATAGTTAACACCTACTGTGAGCGGCATAGAAAGGTTAGTAATGCTTCTGTGTGAAAGTGGCCAACAATAACTGAATAAGACTAATAATAGTAATAAGCAGCTTTCTTTCCTAAATAGTCCACAGTAATCAGAGGTACCAGTGAGCAACAATTTTCTTTAACTCATCTAAATCTGTGGGTTATGTGCTGAGTTTATAACTAGTTAATTTGAGGTAGTTTAAAAAAACATCTCCAACTCTGACACAATTTACTTATTTTATTACTTTTATATATTTTAGAAAATGTCATACACATAATTGATGTGTTTCAATGGCTTTTTATTCTCTATTTTCCAGAAATTTTGAATTTATTTAATAGTTTCTAATAATAACAACCTGTTTCCATTTGTGTATATTTCTTATGATTTACTTAAATTTGCAAATTAAAAAAAGCAAACTCTCAGTTGTTTTTCTGCTGTTACTGTTTCCTTCTTCCTTTAAAATGACTGAGGAACTTGTGGAAAATAACTGTGCTGCTCCTCGCTGAGGCCTCACAAATTACACACTGAGAAATAAAGTCAAAGAGCAAGGAAGGCTTGTTTTGGTGGAGCAGCGAGGTGCTCTGTGGGAACTTAAAAGCGGAGGAAGCTCAGGCCTGCTCACACATGCTCTTTGCCTCTGTTTGCTCTGCAGGAGAACGGCCTCACCGACGGCATCGACGTGGCGGCGTGGGAGGAGCAGACGTTCCTGTCTCATGGGGCGCTGCTAGCCAAGAGCTGTCAAGCTGCGATGGAGCTCGCCAAACACGACAAAGAGTCTCAAAGACTGGCCTACAAGTACGGCAAACACCTGTCGCTGGGCCACAAGGTGAGGCGAATCCAGCAAGTAACATATACAAGAAAGGAGGTTGTCTGAGCAATAAATCTATAATGGTTGATCAGCGTATCATCACGATGCCTTTTTTAGCGGGAAACCAACTGGATTTCAAGGGATTAGATACAAGAAGAACAAACTCTTTTGATAATTTAAACAAGAGATTTAAAAAAAGATGTAATAAACGCTTGACTGTCTTAGAAAAAAGCCAAGAGAAGGATCCTAGTCGCTCCTGTCATTAGTTCCATGGAAACAGAAAAAATATTGTAATTCCTGGGATTTTTGTCTCTATGAATATGGATGGTTCAGGAGCATAGTCCCAGTCCTCCATAATTCAGCAGCTTAAGGATGTCAGTATGTTGAAGTTTTTAGGCATGAGGTCTAGACTTCGAGTGGGCTGCTGCAGCAGCTTGATTCTTTTCTTTGTCAGCCATGCTATGTGTCGATCGCTGTCCTGGTGCTTGACCCAATTTCAGCCAAACTTTAACTGTCGGGTAGAAGGACTCATTCTAGAATATGTTGGTATACAGAGGAGTTTGTGGTTGAGTGAATGACTGCAAGGTACCCATGTCCTGTGGCTGCAAACTAAGCCCAAATCGTCACTCCTCCACCGCCGTGCTGATATGTGTTTGGTTATTGCCAAATGTGGAGCTGTGCATTTTGTTCAGACATTGTTCCAGAAGTCTTGCGCTTTGTTCAGATGTAACATTGTAAACCTAAGCCGTGCAGCCGTGTTCTTTTTAGAGACAAGAGGCAACATAGATTGTTGCATTTTGTTATGTGCAGTGAAAAAAATGTTATGTCAGTACTTAAATTAAAAATGTGGAGGTTTTCTGGCGGTTCTAATTTAGTCTTTGATCTTTTTTTATGCCAAAGTTTTGGACCTCCTGACTGACATACTTTCTGTGATCAAGTTAATTCAAAGTAAAGAAAAAAATCTGGCTTCCAGTAATGTCTGACTTCTTTCTCTCTCATCCTCGGTATGAATAATTGCCCTTCTTTTCAAAAGTGTTTTTATGTCTATTTATCAAATACTTCACACTGTAGCTGAATTGATACATAAAAGCGTGACGTTAAAGGGAGCAGAGTGATTTATCGGCACTACAAAAAGTGCAAACGAAACATAGGAAACATTAGACTTAAGTGCCTGTCTGTCTTATTATTCTTGTATCAGAGAGGGGCATAAAAATGTGGAAACAGGAAGAAGGTTGATTTGTTATGTGCTAGAATGTCATTAAGATGTAAATAATGCAGCTGCTCAGTTATTTTTCCCAAGGTTCAGAGATTTTCAGCTGAATATTATTGGCGCTGGTGTAGAAGTCATTCATAATGATCCCACTCTCATTGCTGCTTTAGTGCGTCCTCTCCTGCTGGGGCTCCCTGTAGCTGCCTGCCTGCAGGCCTCAGTGGCTACAGGGAATCTCAGCATGGGAGGAACCAAAAATGAGGTCTTTGAAGGAGAACCGTCCTCATCAGGCTAGCTGTGTCTGTTCATTAACAGGGTCAGCTCAGAGTGTAGGCAGGCAAATGCAACCTTGACTGTTTTCACCACTGACTTGGTTTAATTGATAAGCTGAAAGTTACAAAGTAGAAGCTCCGCAATGACGAATGTTCTCTGCCTTTCTGCAGCTGAACTCTGACCTGCAGCCGTTTATGAAGAGCAGAGTAGGAGAGCCGCTGTCATTTAGTCTGAGCGCCGCCCCGGTCGTTTTCCACCGTCAAATTATGGGCCGGGAGACGTGGCATCATCAGCTGCAGCAGGTACGTTAAGGATGGTCCATGACACCAGGGCCAGCTGGATTCACTGCCTTTATGTTTCTAGCAGGAGTATCAGCTTTAATTTAAATAGGTTTGCATCAGATCTGAAAGAGCTGCGTGCAACCACTTGAAAAGTTGAATGAATCTTACTTTATAATATAATTCACAGTATCTGTTACTGTGATGAGTAAAGAAGATCAAACTGAGGTCTAAAACAAAGGTGAGAGTGAAAGCTGTTAAATTTCTCCATACTGCTGAAACAAAACTCACCTGATCTCAGTCCGACTGACCTGCCCTCCATTCACTCAGTGACTGAATGAACAAATTCAGTCACTGAGTCCAGAAAAAGTTTTGGGGATGTGTTTTGGTAAAGCCATACGCAGCAGTCTTATCAAATAGGACCTGATGGTTGGTCAGAATAGTGTTTACCCCACCCCTGCTCCACTGTGATTGGATGGCCTGGCCAAAAGAGGGTTTTTAACCAGAGAAGCAGACCCCCAGCGTCTCCTCACACTGCTGCTGTTTTGAGTATAATTTAAAAACACTGTGCTTCTAGTGCTTCTGCAGGCCTCAGGTAAAAATAACTTCCCCTACAGGCAGGGAACAATAGCAGTGAGGCTGGCAGAGCATCATCGGGAAAGTTAAGACTTCAGGGTTGTTCCTTATTGAAAAACTTTTGCCCTGACCCCCTCTGAATGAGTGGAAGTCGTTTTTATTGTAGTACATACTGCAACAACTACTCCAGGTGTCACTTTTTCACTATTCAGCTTCAGTTGTTATTGCATCTGACTTGCTTGCTTGACTCTTTGCTTTAGTTTTATGCATTTATTTTGTATTTGCTATTGTGCAAATTGTAACAACGAAGAAGCACGCTTTGTCCTCTGACTATTGTAGGTGTAGGTGGGGAAATAGACAGTGAAATATTCCCTGTGCCTTGGAGAAATTTCTAAAGCTTACCCTTAGAAGCCAGAGATACATGCCTGCTTTATCTCTTTTTCTTTTATTCTTCAAGGCAAAAACTTTGAGAAACCAGCTGGATTACTCAAAGGTAAGCACACAGCTTTACGAATGCCTTTATCCAGAATCTGCCCGTTCCGTGAGATATGAACTCTTAATGTTATTTCACAGTGTGACACAAAGTTCAGTTTTATTCTGTTATCTTTGAGTTGCACTTTTGTTACAAGTTTGTTAGATGGCCACAATTTTCCTTTGCCGTATTTCACAGTTTTTACCTCCTTACTGTCTGCCCTCAAAGACGGCAAAGAGAAACAGGATGTCTTTTCACTGTAACTTATATCAAAGTTGGGAAACAAGCTTTCCAAAGTCAATGTGTGAGGCATAGAAGGGGACCGATAGGGGTGCAAAAAAAGAGCGAAGCTACAGAGGAGGGGGGGTCCGATGGTGTTGGAAGAGGGGAGGAGGGGGGTGTTATCTGGTCTCGCCTGAAACAAGAGCAGGAAGGATTAGTTACCGAGGCCTATTTGCGGAGGAGACACCGAGACTCTGAGACAGTGGCATTGTGAGAGAATCTCCTTCAGCAGGGCTGCTGAAAAGGGGAGAGAAGTTTGAGGGGAAGGAGAGGTGAGGAGACACAAGGAGGGAAACTAAGAGCAGCACACGGGGGTGAGAAAACGTTAAAGTTTGGATTCAGCACAAAGTTAGGAACCTGTAATAGCTAAAACCAGCATGAATTAACTGAAAAATGACAAGCAGAGTTTCGTGTTGACTGTTAGTCTTTTGTTCCCCAGTAGCTCTACACACACAAAATCAGTCAGAAGTTTTATTTGTAGGCACTTATGTTTTGGTTTTAATCATCTAAGAAAATCTGAGTACAGAAAAGACGTGAGGATGACTCACTGTAGCCTGAGGAGCTGCTTCAGCTACTCAGGAGGTGTGCTCACCATTCAACGCACAATTTATTGTGACCTTCAGTAAGCATGGTCAGGTTTTAATCAGTGGATTGTATAAAGAGAAATGTCTGTTTTTTATATAACTTGTCATTGCTGTGTAGCTGTTAGATGGTGACCCTGCAGAAAGTTTGAGTGTGATTGGATGAATAGTGATGATGAGCAGCAAGGGAGGAAGATATGGAGAGTTAAACATGTCTGCTAAATTGATCAGGGTTTATTATGTTGTTAAATCTTGACCAGATTAAAAACAAACATTAAGCAGAAACACCAACTTTATTCTGTGTAAGTTCCAATTTTTCCAAGTATTTAAATGTTTCTCAGGCTACGTCCAGACTAGCCTGGATAAATTTGAAAATGGCGTTTTCGTCTGAAAACGCTCTGCGTCCACACTGAAACGGCCGAAAACGTTTAGGTTCCAGTACTGCGGATGCGTGAAAGGCAAGACTATTCGACCTGCCTCATTTTTGTCTGCCGTTTATTTACTTTTCAGCTCTTTGAAACGTCGCGGCACAAGGTCGAGGAAAAGCACTGAGTTTTTTTAAATGGACTAACAATGAGGTGGAGTTGTTGCTGCGAGTAACACAAAAGTACAAAGTTGCAAAAGCGAGTGAGAATTAAAAAATTTGAAGAAAAGCTATCTGGAGCATGTACAAACTGATATTAGTCTTTAATAGGGCTGTCAAAATTCAGAGCAAACAAAACAACTGCTGTATAATGCCCTCCGCTATCTTAGTTTCATTGGTTACATGACTGTATCACATGACTAAATTGTGTCATTGTTTTCGAAAAGGCTCCGGGTTCGCTGTCCACAAAAACGTATCTGCTTTGGAGAGTGTTTTCAAAACACGTTTTCCTTGACCGAAAACGCCGTCTCAGTGTGAACGGAAGGTCAAAACAGGGAGAAAAAGATGCGTTTTCAAACTAAAACGTGTTAGTGTGGACATGGCCTCAGTGTCTTGCCATTTAGCAGCCATCTTGGTATCACCTGTGGGCAGTTATTTTGTGTTGCCAAGAGCAATTGTGATGTTTTTGGCATTACACAATTTACATTATGTGCCACAGACTTACCAGGACCTGAAAAGCATAGAAAAGGACTCTAGAAGATGGGCTGGCTTATAATCAGTGGAAAGTTGCAGCAGTAATCAGGAGCCACAGAGCAAGCCATGATATCGTGGACAGGTGCTTCAGGAGCTACTCAGGGTCTCTCATTGGCTTTTAATTTAATTACACGGGGGTAACTCACAGTTTCATACTAAATCTTGACAAAGTGGCGTTTTCAGATGAAAAACTAACTCCATCTTTTATTAAATGATGTTTAATATATTCAGTGTACATTACTTTTGAAAAATGAATTAACTTGATCATATTTTATTGAATTATGTCAGCTATCATGCTCACTTGTCCTGTTTAATTTTTTCTCACGTGCTGCATGTGAATATTGATGAGATCAGGAGACTCAAGGCGGCAAAGACAGACAAATCTTGTTCGGAGCATGAAGAAAGAACAGGATGTGGAACCAAACATAACGCGCAAACAGAGGAGGGAGGGAGGAAACGTTAAAAACTAATGCCGAATTAAACAAGGTTAGCGGAAAAGATGGCGCGAAATGTTCCAGGAAATATAGTCTTTTCTAAATTTAAGAAGAAAAATGATAATAAAGAACTGCAGGTGTCGAACTCAGCATCACCCTGGCTGGTGATTTAGAGAAGAAAGGCCTACGGGGTTTTCCACCTCCAGAATTCATCAGGTAAAACGCCTCCAGCAAAAAGATGTCCCAACACAGCAGCAGTAAAGCACAGGGAGGTGCACAAATTCACTCAGTCTGTGTACTTAAAGCTGATGTTAGAGTTGATTTGATTTGATGGCCTCTGCTTCCTCATGCGTGAAATGTGTAAGTTGTGTAAGGTGCATGAGGTGCTCTCTGGAATATAGGAGCAGAAATCAATGTGTTAAAAAAAAATTCAACAATCCGTGACTTTGTGACGGACAGTCTTCACGGAAATCCTTTGTTCAGTTCATTACCTGGCGTGCAGAAAAAACGGTGCCTTCATTAGTAAAGTGGAAAGACAGAAAAGCTGTGAGCTACGTAATTAGCACTGGCAGAGAAACACGATTCAGGGCATTTCCTTTCTCATTGTCAAATGCCAAATTTTTAAAGCCTAACTCACAGTGATGAGTCTGAAAATTTCCTCTTGTAGTTAAATTTGGGAAGCTGCCTTCAGTGGTACCACTGGCAGCACAGACGTGATTGTGATTGGGGTTTTTTGGGGAGGGGTTATTAAAAGGCATCTTTCCTCCCGTTTTTACCCCTCGGGCCCGCTTTAACAGCGAGCTAACTTTCGCTGCCTCTTAACAGTTTATTGTGTTGACAGCTGGATAGTAACGAGAGTGACACAAACATGACAAACTAATGCGTGTTTTCATCCGTTTGCAGCTTTTGGCAGCGGTTAAATCGGAGAAAGGCGTGAGCACAGCGATGGACTTGTGCTGTTACCATGGCAACAAGGCTCTGGAGGCCATCCAGGCTTTCCCCTCCTCCGAGGCTCGATCCGCCTTGGAGAACATCGCCTCTGCCGTCACCAAATTTTGACCTGGACACACACACACACACTCCTGTACAGCCTGGAGGGGTCTTTGTCTGCAGAGGCCAAAGAACGAGAACAGATTAACTTTGTTTTACTCGATCCAGATGCTGAGAAACTGTTCTGCTCTCTGGTCATCATTAAATAAAAAAGTTTTTTTTAAAAACCCCACATTACTTCAGCATCATGTCATGCGTTTTGTTTTCTCTCATGCCTGGAGAAAATAATCACACCGGGCTGCTGCAGTTTCAAACCTGGCATTTATTGTTGCTTTGCTTATCAGCGAAAGCACATCCCAGGCAGAACGTAATTTAAGATGTTTTGAAGAATTGTTATTGTCATCTGGAAAATGTACCATGAACAGGAAATGATACACCGAGCGGCACTTATTTTTTCAAAAATTACTTTTAAGAATAGCTTCCTCCTGGTTGCCGCTGCACGGCACAGATGATGGTGAAATCATAGCTGCTGGATTTAGTGGGTGTTTGCCAAGTTGAAAAGCGGCACCAAACTGGTTGTAAAAATGTCTCAAAGTCATGTTCTACCTGGTGTGTACCACTGCTGATAAGCACAGCTGCAAAAAAAATGTATTTTTTTTTAATAGCATTTGGCGTGCTCTTCGCTACAGAGGAGGAACCGGCATGAATCAGGGGTAATGTCATCTGTGTTGCCTTATTATGTCTCTCCCCGTGTTTGTCTGTGTGATCCAAGTCAAGCCAGGGGCGGGGAAAGGTCACCCAGCCTCTCCCCTTGGCCCAGCCAGCGAGCGCATTGAAGCTCCGCCAAGCAGTAATTATTAATGAAGAGACCTGAGCAAATGGACAGGAAATGCAGAGGTATTGATTGGGCCGGCTGCCCTGCTCTAAGCCGTACAGGCTGGCGCCAGCCTGGTGGCCTGTGGTTTCCCAGGCTGCTGTCTGCAGAGGGAGGCGGCGGGGGGGCAGCCAAGGTGTGAAACCAGGCCACCACTGGCAGCTGTCTGTCACATCGAGGCCACACCTGAAGGACAGACAGCCGGAGACGGGACGAGAAAGAAAGGGGGCTGAAGATACACAGATTGAGACGAGGAGGAATTGAAAATTAACTAACAAATACACAAACACCACTCAAAATTAATTTCGTATCATGTGAGAGGACCCGAAGACACTGGGAGGAGTATTATAGTCACATCCTTTACATTTTTTAAATTAAAAAATATATTTAGGAAAGATCATTAATAAAAGACTTTCTATTAGTCCTGTTGGTGATGTTATTTAATGGTGGCCTGTAAGCTGCATCTTTTCAGGACCTTTTTTGCTTCTCAGGAATCAGGAGAATTTTAATAATCCCAACATGGAATTATATACCTGTCACAAATATTTTAAATTAATTAAATATTAAACAAGAAAACATTTTATTTAAAACAAATTGTGAAATTCCTGTATGGAGGACCCCGCGTGTCATGGAAATGGTGATAAATCACTTTACTATTAGTGATAGTTAGTAAAATGAATCTCAGAGAGAGAGAGAGAGATTCATATTCATTTTTAAAAAGGCCCAGTATTGACAACCTCAAAAATTAAAGGGAAAAAGAAATGGCAAAGACCAGTTGTGATACCGTAATCATGTTCTGTTTTCCGCGTAACTAAGCAACCACCAGCATTATCCATGTCATCAGTTTTTTAGTGTGTTATGAAATAAGCACAGCTGTTGTTTTTCCCATTATTTATATTGCTTTCACATAGTGAAATGAAGATCACAGCAGAGGTATTTGTTGGTGTGGAAGTAAACAGAAAAAAAATCTCCTGTTCTAGTGTCATTGATTTTTGTCTGTATGCCTGTTGTTTTATATGAGGAATTTAATAATATAAAACATTTTAAAGACAACACACACACACACACAGCAGTTTTTGTAATAAAAATGAATGGCAAACATGATGTCTATTGTCACTTTAAATAACCAATGGGATATTAATTTAAAAAAATGAAATTGTATAAATTAATCTATATTTATTTTTGTTGTTTTATTTATATAATTACATGTATTTATTTGTTTTATATTGGCAGATTTGGTCCTCCGTACAGGTAACAAAATTTTATAATGATGTTGCAAATTTTCTACTTCTGCTGACAAAAACTAAAACATTCAAATTAAGTAATGAATAATTTAGACAAAATTGTTTTGTTTTGTTTTGTTTTTTGTTTGTTTTTTTGTGGGAATAACTGTGGAGGATGAATTTGTAAATGTCCTTTAGGACCCTTTGGCTTTTACACTTCAGCTCCTCAGTTTTGGTGCCGGTGATATGAACATAGTAAACATCACGCCAGTTTGTTTAAACACAGTCTCACTGAGCTTCTAGTCTAAAGTCTTTGATGGTTCCCTAAAGAAAAAAAAAACTCCAACACAGCAGCGTGATCAGTGAGAAAATGGTTATTTAGTCCTGTCTAATCTGAAAAACCTGTGAGCTATTTAGAGTGGGGGGAAGAAAACTACATTCGAAGGTTACCTGCTGGGAGTGGTGGTGTTTTTTAGAGCTTACATGTTGGTTGTAATTATTTGATCCCAAACTTCAGATAGTAACGGCTTTGAAACCAGAGTAGCACTGGTGGGGAAAGGGACCTGAGGTGAGGAAGAAGAAGCAGAGTGGTGGATGAGGAGCAGGGAATAGGAGATGATAGGATATAAAAGAAGAAGGTGGGGTTGAAGTGCAAGAGGAGGTGATGTGGAGCGAACTGTTTGAAAAACAAGCTCATTTCTGTTGCTGGGTTGTTCGTCCACTTCCTCGTCTGTTTTGGTTTCCGCTGCCTGGGCTTCCTGGGTACAGAGAGGTACTGCATGTGCCAGGGAAAGCCTCAGGCGCTTCATGAAATATTTATCCTCGCCGTGAGGAGACATGAGGAAAGTTACACGGAAAGTTAAAAGGACCAAACAAGGAGAGAGGCCATGGCACTGCCAGAATGACAAATATAGTTGCTAAACAAAACTTTATTTCAGAGGATGAGGTCTGGCCTAAGCAATGAAACTGTTGCATAGACATTCCCAGCAGAAATCAGCCAAGCACAGCAGAAGAAGACTTGATGGGTGAAGTTTTTCTTTCAGTGGTAAAGCTGAATGTTTAATGCCGAACAGAAATCATAGCATTTTTCCTTCCCTGACAACATTGTTGCTGCCAGTATTAATCTTTCTGATACCTCGTAGCCCAAACAAAGAGCAGAATGAGGAAGGTGAGGGGCTTTTGTCAAGTTTCTATCCTGCACTGCAGCAACTTGACGCTGTGTTTGCTTACAGTTTCCAGTTTGGGAGTCTTGGGTTTCATGAAAAGGAAGACTTGGCAAGGCTATAAGTTTACATCCAAAACATGAAGTGTGAAAGAGAGGCCTTAGTGTGCCCAGCCCAGGCGACGAGTGGTGTAATTACAGCAGAGTCCAGTGGAGAGAGCAGGTCAGCGCAGCCCAACAAATTTCCATTACACACTCAAACACTGGAACACTGCTGTGGAAGCTGGGAACGGTGACTGTTAGATCTACGGTTGTCTGAAAACATATTTCTGGATTTTTTTAAGTGCCAAATTCAATAATTAAAACACGATATAAATGTTAAATTAGAAATTCCCTGATTTGCAGTGTTAAAAGAAATACAACTTTATTTTCGATTCCTAGGAGTATTAGGAATTGCTGGAGCGAAGGCTCAAATGCAGCACGTTGACATAAGCATCTTTATTGGCTGATGGAAAGATCAAAGTGATCAAACAGCTGAAATTAAACAGGAGGGGGGAGTCAATCTAACAGAAGGGAAAGTATTTAAAGCCACAAGAAGACATGAGAAAATTAACTTTCAAATTACAACACTGAATTATGAGGCCTACTATTACATATAAATGCCATATTAATGGTTAATTATTCATTACTGCATTCACTGTACTTTATAAAAGATTAAAAGTGATGGATTGGTCCTTGTGCTTTGATTTCCAAAAGCACTTTTCGTTATATTTCCATTATATTCAAAGGATGGCAGATATTTCTATAGCTGATATCTCCAAAGTAAGCTAGATGGATACATTATTACACATTTTAGAAGAACAGGAGATGAACCAAACCCACTTTCAGATGGTAGGGTCAGAATTTGATAGAATATATTTAATAAATATAAACATAACAGAATAAATATATTTTTAAAAGACTACAACAACAACCAGTTGTTGTTGTGGAAAAAAAATGCAGTATTTTTTTAATGGGAAGGCAATTCCATTGACTTGATGAAGAGAACCTGCCTCTTACCGTCCATCCATCCATTTTCTTAATCACTTAGTTCAAGGTTGCAGGAGGCTGGAGCCTCATTTACCACAGGACGAGAGGCGTGGCACAGACCGGACAGCCTGCCAGTTCATCACAGAGATACAGAGAACCATACACTCTCACATCCACACGTCCACACTTTTAACTGAGTTTGCTTTACACGTGAAGATCAGTTTACTTATAATGAGGATTATTATTCAAGCCTGTGGGGGGGAAAACATCAGCTATAGCTGTGGGGGAGCCTTTAAACATTTAAGAGAATCCTTGTGTGACAAACCAAGTCTGGAGAGTTTGGAAGATTAGGGTATTTACCAGTGAGGGCCTACTTAAAGATGCAGCCAACAATGCATCTTGGGAAGTGTAGTAGCAGCTGTTTTAGATTTGGTCATTCTTTCTTTGACCTTAGTTGTTCTCAGTTGGATTTTAATGATTTGGGCTATTGTACATAACATACATTAATTTCTTGTTAATTCATTTTTAAACAATAATGAATTCTTGATTGTCATGAATTCACAAGCTTCATTGCCTATTAATAAAAAGGATAAAAGCTTTGTACATTCATGAGTTTGACCATAAAAAATCTTCATCAGGCCTAAAGTGGAAATTAGTTTCTAAATTCTGATACATAAATTTAATAATTACACCTGATAGCTGTTTATTAAAACGTATGTCTAATAAGCCGATCCAAAGGATCAAATGATCTTTAAAATAAAGTCCAATAATTTGCTCTACTTGCTCTTAGCACTCTCGCTGCACCATTTTTGAATCAACTAGAAGCTTTTCAGGGAGATAATAAAGGATTGCAATAGTCCAGCCTAGAAATAACGAATGTGTGGACTAGTTTCCAACCTCACACTGAAACAGGATGTTTCTCATTTTTATTCCTCAGATGAAAGAAAGC